TTTATCAACGTCAAGTCCAGACTTGCGAGACTCAGAGCCTGTTCAACCGGTTTTCTGGATAAGAGCTTGGGCAGAAAATCCAGTGAGCAGTGAGGCAGGAATGGCTGAGTGTTGAGATGTGGATTCATTCGGATATGAGCGGAGTGATCAGGACTCTGTGCTGGCTGTTCTTCTTTGAAGGATGATGAAGAAGTTGTTGCTGTTCCTGCTCCTCGGTAAGAAACTCCGAACATAAGGAAACGTTTTTGAGTTTGGAAACTGCGCATTTCAGACCGGAAATGTTCACAACAGCCAGAAATGCGTTTCATGGATACCTGAGTAAGAGAAATTGTGACTGGGTTATTTGTTTATTGGTTGAATCATGTATTTTTTTAGTCGATTCTCCCAAAGTTTTGTGGTTGTTGTTGCTGTTGTTGTAACTGAAATGAGTAAAGAAAATGAACAGCCTATTTATGTAAGATAATTCATCATTTTATTGGGGGGGGTTATATTGTTTGGGTCTGATTATTGGGTTGGTCATAACCCCCCTGGAAATTATGCCCCCTGCTTTGTATGACCATACTGCTCTTACAAACAGATAACAAAAGTGGGTTAGCGTCACTGGTGCTTCTATAGTTGTCTTCATAATTATCAAAGAGATACTTCAGAATTTATATTAATCAATGCATGTTTGCACCATTTGTATGTGGAGTCCCCCAGGGCTCAATACTTGAATCAATTCTGTTTTCTGTCACCTGTGGGCCATAATTAATAGTTTTAGTGGTTTCTCCTACCATTGCTATACAGATGACACACAAAATAACAAACATACACAGAGCCCTACATGGACAGACTCTTCTTATATAGAAAAGCTTCTTAAAACCTTATCAGAGCAGCCTCTCCGATCCTCTAACCAGGGTCTGTAGGTGTCACAGCTAGCAGGTCAGACTCAGTTGCAGGCTACGCATCACGTTCACAGATCTTAACTTTATTAAACATCAGGTACAATATGTAGAAAGTGAAGGAATCAGGGAACGGTTCCACAGGTTGGCGAGGGGGAAAACAGGTACTACACTTCACACATTCCTCTCACTCTGCTCTCGTCCTCACATACAGCTCCAGTCCTCCACTCCACTCGGCACTCACACACACTTTTCTCGCAGGCAGACACTCACATTCAGTCTTCCACTAGAAAGCAGGGTTACAGAGTGGTTCCAGAATCTACAGACAAAAAGGGAGTAATCACCACCAGGATACAAACAAATCGCACAGTTCTATAAAGCTGGGATTTGCACTATGTTAACTCAATATTCCAGCAATGAGATGTTCTGAGCTGCTCCCTTTAGTAGCGTTCAAGAAATAATGATGAGCCACAGGTGAGTGATTAGCAGCAGGTGTGTATGCCAAAGGTGGGGAGCTCCATCCTGGCCAAGTTATACAGGAAAAGGAGAGAACATGCCTGTGTTAACAAGTTATTGTTAACACAGGCATGGATCAGGCTCTGATGGTAAATAATATTCTTCTTACACACAGATTTCTGGTGCAGTAGTTTGTAAAAAAGCAGCCTCCTCTGGATAAACCATGAACTCCACCTGAGATATCAGATTTATGAAGAGACCAGCTGTTTCATTTCAAGATGCACAAATGCATGAATTTCTAACACAGCAGTTCACTCTCACTCTGAAACGTAACAACTGATCTGCTGCTTAACTGACCTGATCAATGTATTATTATCATTAACATGATGCTATATACTGATCCTTTAAGTTTTTTCATTGCAGTGTCTGAAGATATCTCAGGGTATTTTTAGTTACATTTTACACTGGCAGAAGGAGAGTTTTCACCAGTCTGACTTATTTAAGGTCACAGTGGGCGTTATGCGGCCCACAGTGCACAAAATGCAGTGTACAATGAGTGTAACATCCCTGGTTTACAGATCTCTCACAGAATGTAGTTTTTTCACTTAGTTTAAATGTGTAAAAATTAAATTGTCTTTTTCTTTGACTTCTTTGACCCATCTAATGCTTAAACTAGTCTCTATAGTCCCTGCAGATAACATGACCTGTGGCCTACTTTGGCCACACTGGGACAAACACACAGCAAGCTATTAATTTGTGTTTCTGTTGGTGTCTCCTTCCAGTTTCCCAGCATGCCCTGGCTGTAGTGGTGGAGGTAAATGAGGGGGAAATGTCTGTCCTGCTGCCCTGTCAGTTCTCGGGTTTTATACCAGAGGACTCCACAGTGCTGTGGACTCGCTCTGATCTTGATCCCAAATCTGTCCATGTGCGAGGAGAAGGGGGAGATGATCTCAGAGTACAAAACCAGCGATATAGCGGGCGCACATCAATGAGACCTGATGCTCTGGACACTGGAGACTTTAGCCTCACTTTGAGAAAACCAACAAAGACTGATGCTGGGAAATATACCTGCTCCATCAGTGATGGAGGAGAAGAACTGAGACTGAGAGATATCCAGCTGCAGGTCAAAGGTCAGCCACAAACACCTTGTGTACAGGTCACAGATCCTTCATAGACATTGAGCTTTAATCCTAGAAACTGCAGCAGAAATGGAGAATTGAGAATTTTCATCCAGTTAGTCCTGATGTAAATATTACACTCATGCTAGGAACTAGGGCTGAACGATTATGGAAAATAATCTAATTGCGATTTTTTGCCCCAATATTGCGATTGCGATGCGATATGCGATTTATTTTTTAAGGTCTTTGTCTTCTGTATTATTAAACAAAGACAAGCAATACATCATATAGTATGGCCAATACTATATTACATTAATTTTAAACTGTTCTT